TGTATTCAGCTTTGGGCTGTCCACTTCAAGGATGGTAAGAAGAAACTGGTGAGCATACAGAGAAAAACAGCTAAGCTGTACAGTGGCCTAGAGCATACGTCTGAAGAGGAGAGTTTGAAACAGCAGACCTTGTTTAATCTTTTGAAAAGAAGTCTAAGGAGTAATCTAATACATGCCTACAGCTATCTGCAGGAGTGTTAAAGAGGTGTTAGAGCTGTACTCTTCTTACTAGGGCCAGGCCCTGTGAAGGGAAAGCAGCCACAAATAGCAGCTCCAGATCAGACACTGATGATAGGGAAAGTTTCCAAACATTTTGCTGGAGCCCATATAGATGGTTGAATATCCATTATTGGAGGTTTTCATACTTGGCTAACCAAAGCTATGGACAAGCTTAGCTAGCATTGACAATAGTCCACTCTGAGAGGAGACTCAGACTGGGAGCCTTCAGCAGTCTGTTCCAGCCCATATGAGACCTATCATTCTACAAATAGCTGTGAACCCTCTTGCATTCAAGGCAGTGAGACAGAGTTTAGTATTATGAGCCCTTCCAGAAGCAGTGAAACAGAAATCAGTAAACTGGCAGCAGTGAATTATGTCAGCCTGACATGTTGTAGATCCCTGCGTGACAAGAAACAGTATAAGTGCAGCATCATAGCTGGAAGCACAGCTGCAGTCCACTTACTGTATCTCTGAAAAATTGCACCTTTTGAGCTGGGATATTTTATTGCATTTAAAATCTCAGTACATTTGTCATGAAAACTTTCTGCTCATTAATGCAATATTTCTGGAACAGGATGAACTAAAATTGATTTAACTCCACATTTCAGTGTAAAAATTTTTACATGAGCTGTCAAATTATCCATGCAATACTGTACAAATAAATCATATGGCAGAGATGGTCACAAAGATATTTTTCCTTCCTTCCAGAGTACATCTTAAGGTGATCTCCCTGCCTTTAAATTCCTGCAAAAGGTCTAGGACTCAAATGTTTGAGTGAATTGGAAACCAGAAACATTTCTGATCAGATCACCTTCAATATTTCCTTTTGATCTTGAAACAGTTTTAGAAAAGTTCATCTTACTGCCAACATTTCTTACCACAAAATGATACACTTTGAAACTTTACGAGTTTGAGACAACTTGTAGCTTGCTGCAAGACATGGTTGCTGGGCTGTGTTAAAATAGTCTTCATTTGTGAAAATAAGAAAGACCAGTCCTGAGCATTCAAGCATCAAATTGACCTCAAGCTAAATGCACAACTGAGTGACTCTGTCCTGAACCTGCAGCCTCAGACTGACCCACAAATGCAGCTGTACCTATGCTTGCCTGGAAAGCATTTTTAAATTCCTGAATATTTGCTGTGGACAAAATAAGACCTATGGAAGTGGTAAAAGCTAAAGAGGTAAAGTGGAAACAGCATATTCAATGAAATCTTTTCTCTAGTGTTCATAGGGGCTTAAGGCAAGCTTTTTATTATTATTATTTAATAGAACATTCATTCAGGAAATTAGGTACTGTTGAATGACTGAGAGTGATGCTGTATTAGGAACAAAAACAGCTGAGTCTTTCAGAATTATCTGGCGTACTTAACAACCTGATTTAATCTTAAATTTTATAAAAGAGACTGCCACTGTCCTAATCTATTTGAAGAGAATACCATTTTCTGTGTCTTTAATAGGTGAGCGCAAGCTTGAAGTTTGCCTTTGTGAATAGTGTGTGATCCCAAACATCCAGGAGAGCTATCACTCCACTGGAGAAAGATACAGTTTAAGCAAAGCAAAGTAAATAAGAAGAAATGACAAGCCAAGCATGTAAAAGCCAGGCAGGCTTAAAAATAAGAATAAATCTGCTTTCAGCACTATTGTCCAGGGACAGGCTGTGAAATATGAAGTTACCAACTGTTTATTAGTTCCTAAATCTGTTCTGTTTTCTAGCCCTCTGCTCTTTTGTTTGGTGATTAACTAGAAATTGTACCTTTTCCTGACTCTACAGCAAACAAAAGTCTGATGCTGTCAGTGTTTTTCCCCACTCCACATGCTTACTACTAGAAAATGGTAAGTAAGGACACATATGCATGGCTGCACACACGCCTGTTTGGATGAAGATCCCTTTGCAGCAGTGTCCCTGCACGTACAGGGCCAAGGAAGTCCAGTGTTATGCTAGGAATGAGGGTAAGGAAAGGCATCGGAAAGTGGCCATCTGTTTGGCTGACCCAACAAGGCAGGTGGTGCTTCTCTCATCCATATGGTCACTTTTCTATTAACTAGAGGCTGGGTAGGACTCAGTCACCTTCTTTTAAACAAAGGAAAACAAAATGTGGCAGAAACATTTGGGATGTCACTGGACCAAGACGTACAAATCTTACCAGCAACTTCCTTCTTAACAGTTCTCTCACATTTCTGTTTTGAAGAAATGTTGTAAGACCGAAGTGATTTTGTGTTTATAAGAGAGAGAGAGGTTTGGGAGGGAGATATTAAATGATAGAGGTACTCTGTCACAGAGAAAAGGAAAAAGGAAGATACATGCTCCTGGGTGGTGGGGCAGGGGCTGCAGAGAGAAACCAAAGAAGAGAAATCCTTCATTTTTTGTGGGTGTTTGAAGAGGTCAGGCAAGCATGTGACTTGAACCACCACAGTTTGGAGGTTCATCCGTCAATCACTTTTCAACAGATAAACCTCTTGTCCAAACCTGAATTAAGTTAAACCTCTCTAAAGAGATTGAATTTTTAACACAAAGATTTCCCCAAGACAATGTTGTGCTGTAAACTGCAAAAGCTCACATTTTTCTTATAAAAGTCCTCAAAATAATTATTATTTATGGCACAGTTTTCTACAATTTGATTACATCATATGTAAGTTTCAAGTGTGGATTTTTGTTGCTGGTCAGCTGTTGTGATTTAACCCCAGGCAGCAACTAAGCACCACGCAGCCGCTCACTCACTCCCCCACCACCCAGTGGGATGGGGGAGAGAATCAGGAAAAGAAGTAAAACTCATGGGGTAGGATAAGAATGGTTTAATAGAACAGAAAAGAAGAAACTAATAATGATAATGATAACTCCAATAAAATGACAAAAGTAATAATAAAAGGATTGGAATATACAAGTGATGCACAATGCAATTGCTCACTGCCCGCTGATCGATGCCCAGTTAGTCTCCAAGGGGCGATCCCCTGATCCCCACTCCCCCCAGTTCCTATACTAGATGTGACGTCCCATGGTATGGAATACCCCTTTGGCCAGTTTGGGTCAGGTGCCCTGGCTGTGTCCCCTCCCAGCTTCTTGTGCCCCTCCAGCTTTCTCACTGGCTGGGCATGAGAAGCTGAAAAATCCTTGACTTTAGACTAAACACTACTTAGCAACAACTGAAAACATCAGTGTTATCAAAATTCTTCTCACACCAAACTCAAAAACATAGCACTATACCAGCTATTAGGAAGACAATTAACTATCCCAGCTGAAACCAGGACATCAACCTAGGATTATATTGTACTATCTCCATCTGCTAAGGAAACACATAGGCATGCACACACTGCTTAGGATGCACACACATTTGTGCATACCTACACACTGGTCTCTGAGAAAAAGCAATATATATTCTGATATCATAAAAACAATAATCCTGTAGTACATGTAGTTCAGGCATTGGTGTTGAAAAGTGTAAGTAGCACACCACTTTAATTTAAGCACAGACTATACTCATCATACAGAAAGCTTTATCAAGCACAACCAACACGCTAGTTTATGTTCATCCCATTGGGCCTGCCTGTAATACATTATCTGATGTCTGAGAGCTTAAATGTGTTTCCGAGTCTCATTCCAGTTTCAAGTGTCTATATCACAAAAACTGTCACTCTTCCTGGCCTTAAAATTGTATGTTTATAGACAGTTGTCAGCAGAAAGGCTGGGCATATGAGCACTTTTGAAAAATGAGTTCTGTTTTTATTCCTAAAGGTAGCTTATGCAGGTACAACACTGAGGTTTGTTTGTGAGACTAAAAGAATTCCTGCCCGGCTAATGTCCAAAGGAAGATTTCTTCCCTATATATGGGCTAGGTTCAATTTCTAGAGCTGATCCTTTTTTCATTTGATAGCACCAAGTTTCTAAAAAATAAATGGTTGTAAACAGAAGAAAAAAAAGTCCAAAATATCTAGAAAGAAATTAACACCCCATCTAAATTAAGCATCTGTACACTACAGAAACAGTAATACTGAGATATCACCTTTTATTTTATCCAAGCTTAATTAGGTGACTATTTGCTTTTCATTTTACATAGGAAAGTGGTACATGATTATAAAAGAAAAAAAAATTATAACTTTGAGAGAAAAACTGGGGCTTCAGTCTGATCATGGTATGGAATGTATCATCATGATTGTAAAAGATGAGGTGAAAGGACCATCTAATGTCATATTCTGCCTCTGGCTGTGGCTAATGACAGCTGCCTAGGAAAAACTAATAAACGTAGTGCAAACATGTAGTAACACCTCTATGGGATACTCTCTCTGCCTCTAAATATCAATGGCTCTGGGACTGCTTGACTTGTTCAGTCATCTTTCCTGCAACCATGCAGGATTTTATATACCTCTATACACCTCAGTCATCTCTCTTCCAACCTGTGAAGTCTTTAGCATAAAAAGCTCTCCCTTACTTTTTGTCACCCTTTCCTCTACCTTTACTAATTCCACCGTATTCTTTACAAAACAAAGGGGACCAGAACTGTATACAGTTTTAAGGAGATGGGGGTACCAAAGACTTGAACCTGAAGAGCCTTGACAAATACTGTTTGAACCTTGTCAGAAACAAATTCAGCTATTTGTCCTGTACCCTTACCCAAAATCAAATTTTATTATTTTTGTTCACCATTATTTGCTTTTATTAGCTCATGCTCACCATTTTAGACAGTAGAACTGCTCCCCAAAATATACAGATCTTATTGCCTATTTAAACTCATAGTGTCTTCAATATATTGCAATTATAAGAAAAAACAAGCAAAATGTTACTCACTTGTATTTATCTTCTGAAGTGAAATGTGCTTTTCCAGCTGTCTACGAAGTTTCACCTCTGCTCCATATTTACCAGTAGTGCCATTGTCAGCCAAAATAAAATGAGAATGCATACTGTTGAGCACTGTCAACTTACTCATGGGATTGGACATTGTCTGGTATGGTCGGACCACCTGCATTTTAGAGACAGAGGAAAAAAAAGTACTAAACAGAAAAGACCCTTTGAATCAGTTATAAGATACCAGCTGACAAGATGATACAAAAGAAAAAAATCAAAACTGAAATATTGCACTCAAGCACTGCTGTGTTCTATGTGTAAATTAGAAAATAATCTTACCATTTAAACAACCTCTTGTGGCCACCTTTTGTAAACACCGACCTTTTAGACACAGACACTGCTTAAAGGGTTTTCCATGGTAATCTGTTTCAGTAGCATCAATGGCCACCGTTTCAGTGTTAAGTCCATCTAACGGTCAGTCCTCCAAAGGTCTGTGTTGGAAAAAACTGTTGGCACATTCTTAGCATAGTACAAAGGCAGTTGCCTGTATTCACAACAGCTTTAGAAAGTTTCCATTCAATGGGGAGTTGCTACACTTCAGTTGATTTGTTTTTGTCAGGAGAAACTCTTCTGCAGAGTAAATTGTTGCAGAGTTATCCCATTCATAGCCTGCAGACAGACCAAATAATAGCACTGGGCCACATTTGGCTGTCAGCTACTTTGGTGGGTCTCCAGTGACATATCTAAGACCGCACTGATGTGGCAAAAGAATTTGTACTGTGTCAAGGGATCCTGGCTGATCATTCGAAGACAATTCCTAGAAATATTGTTCACTGTATTGTTTACATATGTCTTGTCTTTTTGGAAAGACAAAACTCCTGAAAATATGTAAAATGAAGTCCTAGCTGAAGAAATGCTGAAGTGACTTCTTACAAAACTCAGCTGGGCTATAGTTCATGTGCAAGGAATTTTCTTCACAGCTCTGGCACTGTTCACTTTGGAAATCTAACAAGAGCTTTTTAATGCACAAAAGTGTACACTCAAGTTTTGACAAAATACTTGCAGACAGAAATATACTAACTTATTAATTTCTTCCTAGGCTTCTCTCCCCTTTTTTTTTATTCTCAAGAGCTCTCTAACTGAGATGTAATTATAAATAATATGTGTTAGTAATATTTTGGCCAGAGATCTCTCTCTCTGTTATTTTCACTTGTGAATGCTTGCAGCACTTCGTGAACCCTTGGATGGCAAGGGGAAACCCACAGACTTCTTTTGCTATTATCAACTGTCACACAGAGGGTACTCTGTAAGCTGTTCATCCTGCAAAAGGGAGGAAATAGGTCTGAGAAGACCAAGAGGGCAGCTGGCCAGCAGCAAGGCAAGTGCACTCCACTGTGAGAACAGGTGATAGCTTTGGCTCAAGTTTCTCTTGTACCGTTTCTTTTGGTGCCCCATTCATAAAACATTTATTCTACCAGCTCATATAGCTTAACAAACAGCAATATACTGCTGGAACATGTTCATTAACTAGCTCTACAGACACAGAAACCATGCGTTCCATGCCACAGTCAGAAAGAAAAAGAAGGTTCTTCCTCACGTGCCTAAGAATCAAATAAAATCAAACTAAAACAGTTACAGGTATTTTAAACTGGTACCTGCCCCACCTCTTAATACATAGCAGGCACAGGCCAGCAAGATCTGAGAGAAGACGAATGACTTGAGCTGCCCTTTGATTGTATGACTATGAGCTGCTGTGCATGCAATTCTACTGACAGCTTGTGCTTTGTCCCCGAGAGCCACAGCTCAAAAGTGTGTAATGGTGACAGCTTGATCTGCAGTTCTAATAAGCTGCAGCACCAAAGCCTCCACACATTGACTTAGTAATGCTGCCGCAGGGCAGATTAGAAAGCTCCCCTTTCATTCTGTGTCTGCCGTTTAGCTACAAGGTGAATCTTATGATTAATAAATTTTATAGATGTGAAAATGAGAATACAATTATTTTCAATCGAGCTGTTCACAGCATGCACAGTTCAACAGCTGAAATACTTTTTAAAAATAATAAATTGCACAAACCACACAGTCAGACTCTTTTCCTGATTAAAGGATGAGCAAATTCTTCAGGAAGGCAGGAAAATCCTAGGCATTGAGGCTATTTCTTTGAGGTGAACTGCTTTTACACAACGCTCAGCAGATTTTCAATTTTTCACTCTTACGCTTCCCATTCCTCTGTTCTTTTCAATCCCTTACATTTTACAGGCAAGTTAAAAGGTTGGGGAAACTTTGACTGCAATGTTTTCTCATCCTCCTTCTGCATTGAGAAGAGGGAATAATGTCGCCTTGCATCTTCCTCTGCAGAGCTGAAAGGAAGCATTTATGCTCAAGACAACCCCTCTAAATACAGGTTAATGAATGTGACAGCAGCCATGCTGTGAAGCAGTACTAAGGCTGCACGGGCTGAGGGCATTCTGTCAATAGGCGAGGTGTTGGGCTAACCAGATGCAGCCTTTGCATCCTGAGGTGGCAGCAGCTTGAATTAAAAGCACTGTTACACTCTGTTTACATTCCCTGTGGGCACATGACACTCAGCATAGGGACAGCACTAGAAAAATCGCTCAGGGTAACTCACCATGGACAATGAGCATGCATGCGCCATGTGATCCAATGCATGGACCTGAGCAGCCTAGGTGAAGGCTAGGTGAAAGGTGAAAGAACTTACAATAAACCTGGTGTGTTCAGAGTAGCACAGGAGAAGGAAAGAGACGCGTGCTTTGCTTCTCAAAAAGTAGTAGCTGTTGTTCAAATTAAGCCTTCTCTGCAGCCTCACTGTTCTGGGGTACACCAGGGAATAGAGTAGTTGCTGGTTTAATTTAAAGGATCCTGGAAGCATCATGGTCCAAATTCTCCCTATATGCTACAAATATGCCAGTCCCCAGCTTTGCCCCAGGCATGCTTCCCACCTTGTAGTTAGCAATAAGAGAGCTGAATCTCTTTTCCTTATGCCTTTCCTTAGAGTAATAATTATTTCCTGACGGAGCCTGCAAGGGGGACTGTGATACTTTGATATTCGATAAAAGTTACAGTGAAACAAACTTGTGAACTAACTATTTATAGTTATTTGTAATCCTTTTCCCCTCTAGCAATTCAATTTATTCTCAAAGAATAACATAATTCTGGAAGGATAACTGCAAAGTATCTACCAAACCCAAGTCAAAATTGGTAACAACAAATCCAACAACAATAAAGCAATATACACTTACTAATTAGTTGCCTGAGATTTGTAACTTTTATCATTTTTCTGAAACCTGCAGAAAATAATTAAATCAAAACATAATCTTTCTGACGCTGTCAAAACAAAGAAGTATGAGAGACGGAAGGAAGTAGTCTCATAGTATAAACTAACATTTTTCAGATTACTATGAAAGAAAGAAAAGGAAACATGTAGCCCATCTTGACAGTCTGATGTACCTGTTGTCTGGTATACACACACAGAGCAGGTAATATGAATGCTGGTCTTTCTGACAATACTCACCAGAACATGTTTTAAAGACCATGGTTTAAAGTGCTGAGTTCTGGCCACATACCTATCAAGTGTGACTGCTATATGATTTTTTTTCATATACATGAATGGTAAGGAGACACTAATTCTAAGGCAACGCTAATTCTTGAATGCACACTTTTTCTGGTTTGGATAATCTTTGGCAATCTCAGGGAGGTAGGTGGTATTCTGAAAATGAAGGGGACTTTGTCCTGACAGAGTGAAGTCCTTTATAACAAAGAATTTACTGATGGGATCAGGGAGAAGAGAGTGGCCAGGACTTGGTGTGTTGATGAAAATAAGTCTTCCTCAGTTAGTTCAGCTGTAATATATAGCAAACAATTCCAGTTCTTTAAGCTTTAAGCTTTCCTCATTCCTTATGTTTTCTGCACCTCCTGTTTGCTCTTCCTTGACTTGTCTTATAACTAGACATTGGCCTCATGTGTGCCCAGTGCCAAAAAAATAAATGATTCCCAAGGTCGTATATCAGTCCTGGTACTAAATTTCAGCATAATACTCATCCTTCTGAAACAGCATTGAGTTATGATGTAATTGAATTGTTAAATATTAATGACTACCTGGTGACCCATTAAAACATGGAAGGTCCCCATTTTTCCTGAAGAATTTGTCTAGTCTGTTATTGTCCAGGGATTTGGGGACGTTCATGCTAGCACCCGCTCCATGACAGGCTGACTTCTAACCTCTTTGTTGTGACCCTGACCTCCAAAGTGCATACAACCTTCCAGCTTTTAAATTTCCTCCCTATACCACCATCCAAATCAATGCTGAAAAAAGCTGAAGATATAACTGAGCAGGTAGAGCAAGACTGAAGAGTTCTGCTGTGAGTACCATTTGAGTATCCCGGAGAAAACTTTGTTGATGACATGTTGTTACCTTCAGTTATAGTTATAAAATTCAGCAACTGCACTAATATAAAAATTGGTAACTCTGAAACTGCAGTCTTTAATAGATCAGAAGCATTATCTAGAAACAGACTGACAAAGCCAGGCATTATTTTTTAACAAAAGAAGTATCTAAGGATATTTGTATTCAACTTATGTTTAGTACCATATAAATTTAGCTTTTATATAAAATGGGAAAATATTTGGTCCTTATTTTTATGATTTCAGCTGCATAAGAGAGTAGGTTTCAACTAGCAGTATATTCATTGCTTCAGTTTTATAAAATTTATTTTTTCTGAATATTCTGAGCAGCACAAAAGAACAAGTATCTTTTATTAGTGAAGTCCATAAAGAACATCTACAACTGCAATGATCGTGCTTTCAACATTTGAGTTCTAGGAAGTAAAAAATGTAATTTATTCTGGAACACAGAGTACATGAAAGGGGTATATATATATATAAAAACTAAAAAAATATATAACATATATGATATATAAAAATATTATATTATATATTATAGTATATATAAAGTTATCTATATTTGTATAATAAATATACTTTTATTATATAGATATAAATTTGCAGTGAGAAAGTAGTTTTCTTTCTGATAATATTTTTTGCTTTTATGTAGCACTTTTACCTGTTTATGGACAAGTCTACAAAGTTGGCTTATGTTTTTGGTTGTGCATTCTGCTGCATTAAATGATAAAAGCCGACCACTATTGCTTCCTTTTTACTGACTAAAGCCTTGTTAAAAAGAATGAGTATTTTACTTTTTCCAAAATTTCTGCTGAGCTTCAGTTTTGCCATACTCTAGTTGTTGAGCGTAACTGAAAGATCAAAGAAGTAAGGGAGAGAAACAGACTATAATCCACGGCTGTAACAGTACTCTAAGGGAGACAAATAAAACCCAAGAAATTTGGAGAGAATTTAGGAACTTCTCCTTAAATCAACCTGCTGGATCCACACATGGAAGGATTTATATAGCAGGCATGGAAGAGTGGGTGTCATGGGTTTTGTAGTGATTCAGCACAGCAGCACAGAAGCTCTATTTTAGTTTCAATTAGTTCAATAAAAAAAGTGTTGGTTATTTTTTTTTCCCTTATAACTTTAATTACTAAAAAGAATTCTATTTAAGTTATTTGGTTATATACTACAGCATCTTGAGCGATCAATGGCTTATCACAGTATGCTGGAAATGTCCTTTTCACTGGGTCACACAATGAAAGCATATTTTGTTTTAAGTCTCAAATACTAGCTTCTTTGGACTAAAAATGCAACTTATTTGAATGATTTCATTGAGCAAAAGGCAAGTACTAAAATCAGTATTCTCTTTGTAATCCAGGCACTGTTCCTACTGAGGTGACTAAGAATTAAACCCAACTGAGGACTGAACAGTCTCCAAATGGAAAGAGGTGCATGCTCCAAAGACTCAGAAAGTGCACTCTTTTAAAAAGAAGAATGGCTCTGTATGTAGGAGAAACTTGTTTATAATCCAATTTTTTTACAAGACTGAGTAAGCCACCTTACTTTCTCAGTCTTCTGTCAGAAAATTGGACGTAAGGCAACTAACTACCCTTCCCTTGTACATTTTGTTTTTAAATTAGAATCTAAATGTGTTAAGAGGGGCACTATTTTCTGCTATATTGCTTTTACAGTACTGGAGTGAGACAAGTCTCTTAGGGCTCTTTAACCATCACAGTATAACAAATAGCAAACAGTAATAATTTTCTTAACTTGGCCAGTTCTCTTTATGGCTCTGAGGAAAGCCCTTTGGATTCCCAAGACCTGACTGATTTGGATGGACTGGTAAATGTAATAAAACACCTCGGCTATGACTTCAAGATCCATACAGGCCAGGCAAGGGCTGGAGCATTGGAAGATGCACAGCTCTGCTGAGCATGCCTGACTTACCACAAGGCACAGGGAGGCAACATGGACTGGGGCATGTGCAATAGCAATAACTCCCCTCCTCTCCCTCCCCCTCCCCAAATGCCATGACTAAGACAATTTTCTGTATCCATTTGGTGCTGGAAGGGTATGTTTTGACAACTCCTCAGTTCTGATCATAATTTAACTAGACATAGTGCATATAGGCATAAAGCCACATTGATGCCAGAATTCAACAGGCCTTTTACTATTGGTTGACTCCCCCTCCCCCCGCCCCCGGCATAATCCTTTGTGGCCTTTGTTTCTTGCTTAATGATGATGCATTTTACATGCTTATGGTACTATTTATAATTCCCCTTCTTGGTTCATTTCACAGCATTCACCTCTAATGAGCCAGTCAATACAATGCTTTGATTTTCAAAAAGCTTCCTCACCAAATGATTCTAAAGAAACTGCACACATTGGGTAAGAGGGAAAGTCCTTTGAGGGATTAGTAACTGGGGAAAGCTGAGGGGAAGGGATTGAAAACAGTAAGAAGGAAAAATTAATTTTTGCGAAGACTGAGTGTTACTAAGATGATTTAGTGATATAAGTGGCCTACTACAGTTGTAAGGGATTTGGGGCTAATGACAGTGTGAAAAGCTTACAGATATTTCAGTGGCCTATGAAGAGTTAAAGAAAGTCTTCATAAAGCAGCCTCACTAGGCAATAAAATGGAATATGAAATTCAATATTGGTAAGCATAAAGCAGTATCATTACAGGTGCATTAGAGATGGATAAAACCTAAGTGCTTCAGCATTGCATCATGCCATTGATCAATCATTTTATGAAAATATTAGGGGCCAGGAGGTTCGGAGGAAAAGTTTCAATTTTGTCTGTCACAGATACATTTTGGAACTATTTTGTCCTCAGTGATGACCCTGTAATTGTAATCTTACTGATATAACTGTGGCTGCATTAAAGGAAGACTTTACCCAAATTTGTTGTCTTTACTGTTTTTTAAACTTCTGTCACTTTCTGTCTTATGATCAGACTAAGTATTAACCTTTTTTGATATGCCAGCAAGCTTTTTTTTTTTAAATTAACATACAACTTCTTGGTTTCCTGTTAAATTTGAAGCATATTTAGAGGAAAAATTCTCTTAAAGAAATAAGAAATCAGGGAGGGCTGTTCCAGTTAGCTGGAACAGCTCGGAAACCAACTTCTTTCTTTAGCTCTTTCTGGGGAAGAAGGCTCCAGAGCCTCTTTAACAGGTGGTGACTAGCTGAGAACAGAGGTAGGTAAGTTTCCAACAGGTGGAAATAACTAATTCAGGAATAACAATGGCTCAAAATTAATGACTAATTTGATGTTCTTTCTTGCCTGCTTTCTTCTTAGAATGCTTCCAGAACTCCATGCACAGTCCGTAAAGACTGCATATTTGAACTTGAAGTGTATATTACACTTTAACAAGACGCACCTTGTCTTTGTGATTAGCTGTTTCTGCTAGTCACCTTATACAGTACATCTCAGAAGAGTTCACTAGTGGCTCAGAATTACTGCTGCAGAGTCCCATCCTGCTTGTTTGTATGTATTGGTAACCCTATTATACAAGTGCTGGTGGTATTAGAGTACAAAACCCCGTGCTAGTACAATTCCCCCTAATGGCTACATGTTAATAGTGAATTGCAATGAATTCCAGTTGGAACAATTTCTTCATACTCATTGTAATTCCTTCTGACCTAACTGATAATTGAATCTTCTTCCCCTCCCCAACTTGCTAATGGACAAACATACAAAGAAGAATAGTTTAGAGTAATGTAGACAGAAAAAAATGTTCATTAGGCAGAATGAAGACTATATCTCTTCTCTACTCAAAGCTAGCTGATTCTCAGGCAGATTGCTTGGGTATGGACCAGAGGTGAGGTAGAAAAAGGGCTCACAAAAAACTTCAGGTAACACATAACCAGTGTAAGTAAATATACATGTATTTAAAATTGGGGGTTTAATCTTTCTGAGTGACAGTATAGGTTTAAAAGAGAAGAGTGATATGAAAGAGTACAAGAGACACCTACTCTGCCCTTCAGAAGGTGACTGAAGCAATGATTCTTTGAGGTCTGATCTTATGTCCAATATACTTATAAGACTCTTCACAGTTCAAGTAATAAAAACGTATAGGACGGAATGTATTATAAGGGGGACCGTCTGCAATTCTGAATTTAACCAATGCATCATAGTATTGTTTCAAAATAAACCAGACTTCAAGCTTTGCAGTCAGTGTTTTCTTAGGCACTTCTCAGGGTTCATAGTGTTCTAAGGATGAAACTTGAAGATATTTTCAAGAATAGCATTTAATGAAATTTCTTTATCATTTACTTTTAAGGAACATACAGTGCAGGAATTTATATTGTTGCCCTGTCAAAACTGCTATCAACCATAATGGAAATCCTGTGTATTTATTGATTTTTTGCTCCAGACATTAGTTCTATGAGGAATTGTTAAGTGAGGGATGGAGAGGAAAGGAAAAATAACTGGAATATTTATATATATTGGAGTTGATCTATGTCCATATAGGGCTTACATCTTTGCCAATCAGATCCTCTTGATTTTCCACAATCCCCCAGGGAGCTATACCGATGGTGCAGATCTTCCCTCGAGATTTTGAGGCATGATCTTTCAGTGCATCTCCAACATGCCGAATGACTCCTGGGAAAGAAACAGCATAAAATAGAAATTCATAATTATGTCCTTTGTATTCATTATGGTATGGATTTAGTATAGAATTCTTTTTTAGGGAACACCTATGCATATACCTACAATTAAGTACAGCTATGAATATATTCCTATTGATTATTATTACAGTAATACTGTAAGTCCATTTTATGAAATTTAAAAAATATTAAGTAGCAAGAAAAAAAACTATATAGCTCTAGAAATAAGAATGGAAATGTTGACAGCTGACTGTAACTTGTTTATCTGCACTTGTATTCACAAACATATGTGCATGCAAGCATTTGTATCCTTCCCAAGCATAGAAAGAAGCACAGGAATTACTGCCCCACCAAGCCCCCCCAAAAGTGTAGCTTGCACACAAATGTTCCCTTCTGTCTGAATAAAGGACAGCAATGTGAAAACATCATTACATTACTCTGTGGTGAGCTATTCTACCATATTTTCTGAACCAATTCAGTCACCTGAGATAGCTTCCAGCAGAGTATTAGAAAACCTGCTGGGGATCAGTGAGAAAACAGAAATTAGCACAGAGAGAATGGCTGCTCCCCAGCTCTCTTCCACGTGCTTTCTGGTAACGCTCCTTGTATGCTTTAGGCCAACTTTGTCCGTGTTTCTGTGGATCTCTGTGCAGACGACAAGTGCCATTCCTCTTTCCTTTTCATAAAACAGTTTCTTTACCTGCGTATCAATAACTTTTTATGATGTGGCTGCACTGAAGCAGACCTGTGGATTTGCTGCAGTTGTTATCTGTTACTCAGTTTCTGTGTTTGCTTCTTGTCCAGAATCCACAATTTCAAGATGACTGGATTGGAATTGCAACAGTCACACAATAGATGTGATTTTAGCCATAGTTTTTCTGCACTGTAAATGAACCATGTAAGAAAACCCCCCACAACCTAACAAATCCTCTGAGTCTTGGAGTCTAATTTCCTTCCTGTGGTGGAAAATGAAAAAAACCCCTGTACCTGCAATCAGCTATGAATTAAGCTGTGATCCAGCAACCCAAAGGATTCAAAGCAGTAAATCCATCCAGACTGCAAAAGCTTCTGCTATGTAGAATAATCAACTTTCAGCATGACACGAATATTCAGAACAACTTGTTTAAGTCATTTAACAGTCCTGGTTATAGCCAGGTATGCATCATCCTTGTTGCATCACTGACTCTCAGTCCAACAGCGGTATTTCAGGACTTTTTCAGTTATACTTTTCCTTAAGAGTAGTCTGATTTAAAAATTCATTATCAACAGAACAGACTGTACTCAGAAATTCTCAATTTGTACAATTTCACATAGAGATAAGACACTTAATTTTCATCTACACAGTTTGAAAACCTAGCCCTGGAGCAATCAACTGCTTTGCTCCAGAAATCAAAACAGCAATGAGAGTTAACTGATAATGCAGAACTGCTTCTGGATTATATTTTTAAAATAATACACAGCAACTTGAACTTCTTTGTTATGTCTAGGTAATTTTTTGATACAGGAAAAAAAATCCTTTTCAACAGTAATTATGTTGACTTTCCTGGTTCATTTGTATTGTTTTGGCATTTGTAACCTGGATGATTTGAAAACTGGTATGAAGCAGCCATGCACTTACCAAATGCAAATGTTATAGTCAGTTCTTCTTTACTAAATTTCTGTAGTTTGATTCCTACAGTTCCTGTGGTAATCCACTGCAACGAGTGTACAATATCTACAGTTTTCTAATGTGTTTTTAACTTAAAATTTATATCTGTCTTTGCCATCATCACTACAAAAGTATCTGGCAAATAATGTAACTATTATCATGACAGTACACAGGTCAACATCGAAACAATTTTTTTTCCTTGATCTGCAGAGATGTGAGGGATATTACATACATGTGAGTCTGTCTATTTATCTAACACTTCAGAAGTTATGCCTCTTTGCTATTTATATTGCTGCTGTGATAAAATTGATTATTGTTTTAAATTTGATGTGCTCTGGAAACTAAAAAGTCTAAGACTCCTATTAAGCATTCATATTCAAATATGTAGGAGTTGATCCACAATGCACTAAAATTAATGCATGATAGAGTGATTACAAAGTTATCCATAGACAGTAAGAGGACACACTCTGTGGGATTACTAGAATAATAAATTATAGCTTTGTTACTGCAGCAAATGACAGTGATGTAAGAATTTACAAGTACATGTCCTAGGTCAAAACTTTTTGCATTTCTCTCTAGCAGAACTCTTTGACTTTCCCCTGACTGTCTCCTTTCTGCCTCCTTCAAGAAGGGTAACTGGGAGGCCACTGCCCAACATTTTTTATCTGGAGAACTATGTTTTGTAGCTTATTCCCAAAACCTACATGCCATCTCCTAGCAGAGCTGGGCCAGCTGTTATCTTGGGTCATTAGGAAACCCATATGGTGTGTTCCAGATGTTCTGAACTTCGAATAGAAATGGAAATGTTATTGCTCTTGCTAGAGGGGTAATAGAAAAAAATTAGGTCAAGCTGCCTACAAGAAAGGAAAAAGTGACACTTATTCATGATAAAGTTTACCACCATGTCCACAAAACAGAAACTTTTTTCCTTTCATAGTTCACATCATCTTATAAGATAAAATAAAGGTCTTTTCTGGATGAAAATGTTTTCCATTTTATGTAATAAGAGTTTGACTTCTTTGGTTTCTGGTTAGTAGTCCCTCCCTGTAGCTTAGTGTTGATCTTATAAAGTCTTCACTGGCAATATACTAATATAATTGCCTCACAGGAGGCTTTATTTTCAGCTCCCCAGTGTGCTTTTCATGCTTTAGCAAACCTTTTATTCCCTGGTAGCTGCCAAGCTGGTATGAACTTGGCATTTTCTTGTTTGCACATAGTACAGCCAACACTAATAAAATAAAACATGGAATGGCTTCTTAATCTCATCAGTCCTAGTTTTTTACTGTGATGAAATCTCCTAGATGCCACTGTGCTTTCATTTCAATTGCTGTTACCTGTGTTTACTCCTCCAGTGAATATCCACGCTCCAGTTGTCATAGCAGCCTTAATGAGGCCTTTTCCAAAGACTTGCTTGAGTTTTGGCTGAAGTTCAAAATTCTGAAGGCCCCCGTGCACAGAGATGAGAAGTTTAGGGAGCTCGAGCTGCCACTCTTTGGTCATCAGATGCAGAAGAAGGTCAGGCTTTGTGTCAAAAGACACACGTACATACTGCAGAAATAAGAGCAGTAGTAGAGAAAAAAAGATTGGTTATACTCACTGGTTCCTAATACATACGATCTATGCCCAATAGATCACTGAAAAAAGGCAACCTTTATGACAAAAGCACTAACTAATTGCTAACTTGATCATTTTTTGAAAGTTAGAAAACTAGGAAACTAGGAATAACGGAACACTTGCAATTCACAGGATGGGCAATTTTCCTTTATTTAGGACATTAAGTCATTAATTGTTTCAATATGCTTAGCAAGGCTTGAAAGATAAATGTCTTTAATCTACGGCTGCAAAAACTGGAGAAAAATTTAAATGGTCTGCCAAAGATGACCTAGGTAGTCAGAGTCACAACTGTGCGCTCACTCATATCTTATTTTCAAGTTAATGAAATCAAACTCTCAAAAGGTAGGACTAACAGAAACAAGCTCGATTGTGCAAGCAGACATAAGCTTAAACTGAGCAAGGCTACTAAGCAGGTACTTTTCAGATGAATGAATGACTTACAGACTGATTTGTATAGATTCATGAATTTGCCTAACAGGACACAAGACCCTAAAAGTGCTTTGAAACTCATTTATACACTTCCAGCTCTTGGCTCTTCTGTGCTACATCACATCTGCAGCATTTTGCCCCAAGGGAGGTCATGCCCATCTGCGTGTGCTCAAAGATAACAACTGCCTTCAAAATTTCTACAGCACTACCATGTCATACACACACCTGTCCCTTCCTGACAAGCCTGGCTCTCTAGGCTGTTTCTCCTGCTCTTTCTGTTGCTGATGTACGAAGGGTTTCACAAAGCCCGTAACAGGGCAGATGATACTTTTTTGAATTCTAGTTGCATAGCAGAAACAGGCTGTAAGAGGGTAAAATTCTTTCTATAGCTGGTAAGATCTGGGAGGACCTTCTTAACTGAATAAAACGGGTTATAGAAAGCCACTTATCTATCAAACTTCTGATTGAATCAATGCATATAGAATTACTTCAGCAGACTTTCCCTTGACAGGTTGTCAGCACAGCCATCAGGTGTATAACACAGGCTCCCTTGCTTTCAGTCAGAGGAATGCCTAGTTCTAACTTATTTATTGTAACATACCAGGTAGAATAATATCCACATATACTATGTAATCATTTTGTCCCTTTTTAACATGTCTAATCAGTATTTCTTGCCAAAATGTTGTTCTTTTTTAGTAAATTATATGACAGTAAAGTGGACTTCTTTCTAGTTGAGCAAGAAATAAGGACTTTTTCCAGAAGACATTGCTAATAGACAGGTTTCTTTGCAAGAATGGGTTGTTGCACAGTGAATAACCATTCTTAACATTTCTGAAAGCAGAAGCCCATTTGGGCAAATAGTCACAGGAAAGCAAGGGGGCACAGCCAAACTGAAAGCTGAGCAAGAATTTTGGAATGCACATTCACTCCAGTGCATCAGTAATGTTCTCTGCAGCAGCCAGGCAAATTCATGACAGCTAATGGACAAAGAACATACAATATTCATGTCTGACAAGAGCATAATGTACCCTTGAGCTTATACATACATGAACTGCATTCTCAGTAGCTACCCATTCAATTTTCTGTATCGGTGCTGAGAAAATCTTGCATGGCACCTGATCCCACTGACCAGATGGTGAAGCTAATAATTTTGATTTGAATTCGAGGGCTGTCAAAGTTTTAAGACATCAGAGGGGTTGTAAGGAAATTGATCCTTACTCCCTTTGCTCTGCCCTTACAGAGAGCTGAGGTTGCAAAGGGCAATGCCTTGTTAACACGGCAGGCATTAATAGATAGACAACTTCCTTCAAAGGGCCTACATGAAACCTCTGCTGGTCAAACTATAGAGATTATGTTTTGGGATCACTGGTACCTTAGTCTGGTTTTTGGTGAAGAAGGACTGGGAGTTTTAAGAAGATAATTAATTCATATTAGTAATGGCCATACAAACTTGTTGAAAACAGAGGCCACTGCATCATCCAGGATGATATTAAGATGAAAGCAGAAATGGCATCAGATATGTATTATCTAATTCAGCCAGTGACCATTTTTTTTATTCTTTAGCATTGTTTTATACCGCAGAATGTGTGACTTCACCACCTTCTTAAGCCTATGTATTAACTGGCTAAAATCTCTTTCATTTTCTTATCCACTAAGACCTCTGAATTTCAATAAATATAAATCTAAATAGTGAATCACAAAGAAGAAATATTTTCTTACATTTATTTGAAAAGTAGACAACTTTTATTACAAACAACTGCTTGTTCTTTATACTGCAGGCAAATCCCCTCTATATTTATGATAAGAATTCATTTTGCTTTATAAAGAGGAAATGTAAGCAAAAATAAATCTGAGAGTTTTTTTCACATAAATTAAAATTTAAATCATCATGGATAAGCTTTACTGGTTTAGAAGTTTTTTGAGAAGGGCAATGGCAACAAACATGATTTTTCTTCTGTGCATAGACCTTAATTTTTATGACTGTCTGATTCATTTTTGCTCTTACAGAGGCCATTTTCAGTTTGATATGCTTGGGATTACTCTTTTGCCATTACTTAACATGTTAACTAGTAAGTACAAGAGAATTCTTTTGTCATCACTTTCAAAGTATGCATTAAATTATGAATAAACACTTATAAGGCCATTTTTGTCCATATTAAAAATTCATTTCTTTCAATCTTGTAGCAGAATATTCAGCCTTTTCAGTTTTTGTTTAGAATCTTAATGAGTATTTCTGCTATTCCTGAATTCTTTTGCTATAGCCTCCAGAGGCAGATTTAAAATTTAAATGTAAATCTAAGCTAAACCACTGCTCTGTTACCCTGAAATTCTATGTCTGGTGTATCTGTCAGCTGTAGAAGTGATCAGTTCTAATGGCAAATGATTTAATCCCTTCTTTATGGAGTGGTGTATGGATAGGATGCAAGACTTCAGTTGTTATCTGTCAGCAGAGCAGGGAAAGATAGGAAGCAAAAGTACAGTTTTGAACCAAAAAACCTACGGACTGACCTGACTGACATCAGCATAACACTGTGAAATGGTAAATCATCAGGTTCAAGCTGTCATGCCCATCTGATCCCTAAACTAGCATAGAAGTAGTCAGCAAGGGTGCCATTTGACACCAATAGTTGTTTTGCCTTTTTATCAAGTCGTTTCCTGAAAAATAACTGTGCCCATCATCAGTCAAACAACCAGATGCTTGCAAGTTGGACTCCAAGCTCCTAGGGCAAAAGTCAAAGTTCCTAAGTGGTAAAATTACTACTCTGTTACTCAAACACAGCTGTGTCATTAAAGTATGTGGTGAATGACTGCAGATGAGAGTCTCAGTGAAAAAAATAGAGAGATTCAGAATTTTGTTGTATGTCTTCAAAGAAAATATCTTCAGAACATTTTGTGATCTTCAGTCTAAATTTGCTCCTTTATTTCTCTTTGATGCATGCAGGTACTGGGTGGCTATTTCACCTACCTTAAATAATATTCCATCACTGCAGACACTTCTTCAAGCTAAAGACTGATTCCCTCAAAGTGTGATTTTCACATACAAAATAGGCCTGATATAATTCTCACTAAATTCAACAGAAAAACTGTCACTTAGAGTGAAACCGGACTGGTTCCTTTTAAGTTATTCTTCTTCTTAACTTCTTAACACATCATCGCAGTTCTGTTAAACAGTGGAAGGACACTCATTGATTTTAATGGGCTTTGAATAGACGTTGTTCCATGTTATTTCCCCTTTTTCTCCACGTAGGACACCATCTTTTAAATTCTGTAAATGTTCTTTAAGTATTAATTTACTGTAACAAAAATAACATTTGCTGCCTTTTTCATGGTTTATGCAAATTACAGGATTAAGTCTCTTTTCCCTCAAGAGCACTGGTGGCTTTTAAGATCCTTTTTACACAGATTTGATAAAACTCAATATATTTTAAAAGCAGAAAGATACCTTTTTATATGGCTGATTTACAAATATCCTCAATAAAGTATGATGTTTTGAGGATCTGAATTATAGAAAGTCTAAGAAACTGGTTGTGTACATTGGAATTCTACTGATGTTCTTTCATGTTTCCACGCACCATAAAAAACAGTAAGCTTAACACACTGAAGTAAACTTTATTTCATCTACAGCTGCAAACATGTTAGCTTTTTATTGTGCATATTAAATGTATCATTGGATGCATTCTGTTAGGAGGAATGTATTTAATTCACTAAAGCTTTTCAAACAGCCATCTTCCACCTAAGCTTGAAAAACCATGCTCAAAGCAATTTCAGTTCTGTGAAGAGTGGTCTTTTAAAAAAGGTTGATATGGAATCCAAGCACACCAATTAATGAAAGAATGCTAAGGGCTTTTCTTGTGTGTGGAAGGGCAGATAATAAATTAAAAATATTGGTTTAATTTGGTCATGAGTTCAGTGCAAAATGCATCACAGCTAGATTCGCTTAATTGGTCCACTAATGACAAGAATCTATTTTGAAATTGTTCAGAATATTGCTCATAATTGGAATGGAATCACTTACATTAGTTTCATAATTGCTCTTATAGTTAGGGTAATAAATTGCCAGTATATAGTTACATGAACTCATCCATGTTATTTCTTAAACTACTAAGAGCCAACTGATATAAACAGATCACATTTTATTAATTTTCCTACCTTTTTTAATCCACTGATTTATTGCAAAAGCTCTTAATAAAGTTTACGTATTTCTTTTTACAGCTGTCAAAATTGAAAAGCTGCCATAAAAACAATGTAAAAGTGAACAGCAAAACTGTTAAATGTGTTTCTTAAACATTAACGAGATGAGCCACTTGTAAAGAAAACATGATAGATAGAGATCTAAAAACCACAGTGGTGCAGGATCATCTGTGGCTACATGAAGACTGAAAAAAAGGCCTCTTTAGTAACTGATCTTGTTAACCTATCTGTTCTAATCTTGGCTATATGTTTCTATACAGTCTGCTGCACCTTCAGCTATTCACATTATTGATTTAAGTACTTTAGTGTAGACCCACTACACTCAATGGTATTAGCAAACTTCATGCTGTTTGAGAATTTTTATTCTATGTAGCTATGCAAATGAAATTAATGGCACAGTCAGTTCTATTGGCAATGCGTAAACCTACAATAATCTTTTCCGTTTTTTTCCAAATCCACGTGTTCTATTATAATTTCAGTGTAATTTTCATTTCCACAGCTAAAGATGCCACTGTTAATTGTCTGGTGGCAACTGATATAATATTATATCACTGCATTTGTAACTTGCAAATATACATGCAAAGTATACATACATTTACTAGCAAGTTTGTATATATATTATTAAAATCTAATTATGTTACTTCCAGTGGAGGAAATAATTATCTATCAGTCTTACATGCACTAAACTGTTCCATTAATTAACTACCAGCTTCCCCAATTATAAATCTAAGGTTATGGTTTCCATTAATAAACCCCATTTCATTCCTTGTAGCCTGATTCAGAAAAATTTACCCATTTTGCTGTTAGCACAGACCCAGACAATACTACTCCGTTCTGTGTTTCCCCTGCTTAATAATATTAATGAGTGGGCATCCATTTCAATATATAAAGTAAGGAACAGGTAGTGAATTTTATGCCCAATTCTTCCACTGAGGCTTTCCTTGATGTTGGTCAGCTTGCTATATCTTGCTGCTTTACAGGGTTATTCTATGAGCCAACAGGCACAATATTAACGTACCGTGACTGTCAGCAAAAATCAGCCTTTATGCTATAGTGATATTTCACATCCGGTAGCTAGAAAATAACTAAGCAGCATATTTTTAGAAAAGAACAAACAACAAACAAACCGTAAAACAACATTTGGGGCTGGAAATATGACCATGAGGACACCTTCATAATGTTTTCAGTGACAAACACACCATAGTATAACAAAGCTCTTAAATTTTTTTCCATTTAAAAAAATGCACAATTTTATGTAAAATTATGGTTATGTAAACTTCCTTATTTGTGTTTTGGTCATATGAAAGATGTTTTTCTCATTGGTGGCAACAAAGCAGGACACCCATTAAAGAGATACTTAGTGAATTGTTTAATTTGAAGCACTTTTCCCACTAGTGGGATGATTGAATTTCTGGAGCTTTTATAGACTTATTTAATTCATGAAGAATTTGGTTGTTCCCATGTTTTGGGTGGGGTTTAATGACTACAAATAGATGGCAGATACAACTACCTTCCCGACTCTAGTACTGTCAAAACAAATCCAGAATTTTTCCAGCAATAAATGTTTTGTCTGTATTCATCCCTAAATTTTCACTTGTTATTTAGTTCTCTCAGATTTTTAACCCCTTTTTGTCTTCTTTTTTCTAAACCCTTCATGATTTCTTTCCTGACTGCACTCTGTGACAGGATTTTTCTTTCCTTCATCTTGACTTCCAATTTTATCTCCACAGTTCCACTTCAAGTATATTTCTTTGAGCACACAGCATATACCTTGGAGCATCTCCTGTTCTCTTGTGGCACTGTGCCAACACACCAGAACACCAACAAATACCAGAACTCCTTTAAAGAAATTGGTATCAATAGCTTCCCTAAACCCTTCATCATTTCTTGGGCTGCCCAAGATTACTTCTTTTCTGGGCAGGGCCATTTATTGCTTTATAGTGATCTCCAAGGACATCAGTCAAAAAGCTGTAGTGATTACCTTTTCTCATAAAGATAGACTTAATGCAAAAGATCCATACACGGTTAATAGCATGATGGTTACTATATCTCTTGAATCTTTCTCAGTTTTGGTGAAAAGCATTCTGATTTGTTCCCACTCCTTGTGAAGATACCAACAGCACAGTTTGGTTCATTTCAGTGCTGAGGGAGGTGTCAATTTATTCACACCAAACAAATGTTATTTATTGAATCAAAGTCTTTCTCCAGCAATGATCTTACAGATTTTTAGGTGATTGGTTATCAACTGAACACAAGGCATCTGTGATACTCTCAGAGAAATGACCTAATTTTCTATCGGTTTCTTGGTGCAACAGCATCTTCTGGTTTCTGCCAAAAGAAGACATCCATCTGCGTGAATGGAACCATCCTCTCAAGTAATCATTCCATCTCCAGCACCTATGTGTCCACCTGAGGAAAATATCTGGCTCTTGCTAGCATAGTACCTGAGCTCTTCATTGTCTCTAATCCATCTAGTATCATGACAGATCTGAGAAACCTGTTGGGAAGAATTCAGGCAAAGAAGATGGTATGGGTTGCTGGGCAGGTTATTCTGCAGAGCACCCAGGAGTCCTCCTTCTGCCCTCACTGCTGCCCAAAGCAGTGTCTTGGCTGCAATGTGCTAGGTACATACTCATCTTTCATTCCCAAAGTCCCAGGTTCTGCAGTTTAGATAGAGCCAGAGACATTCTTCCTTTTATGTAATGCCACATAGAAGAAATACATGCATGGGTTAGTGTGCGTGCTGGAAACATCTCTCCAACTTAGTGGAGCAATACCTTCAGATTAATACACTTTGGTATTGCTCCATAGCATTGTATTATGGTTAAGTGACTTGCTCAAGGAAATCTGTAGCAGAATAGGGATTTCCCAGTTCCTAGCTTAGACACTCACTGGGCCTCTTGTTTCATTGAATGATGAACCAATAAGTCTAACTGGTCTATCCTCTGATATATGTCTGGATGAATATTAAAAGAAAGTTGGTATATTTCAAATTTGTCAGCCCTGCACGCACACTCAGCAATTGGACACCATAGTTGAATTCTAAAGTTATTCAGAAAAAGAGGGACGGCTAGCTACTGGAAGAAAATTGAGATAGCACTTTAGCACGTCTTCGGTCTTCATAAAGGTAGCCCCTCTTACACTGCACTCCAGCTTTTACAGTTAATTATGTTCACCAATTCTTTGGGACATGATACATAAAAACATTTGTTACGGTCTTACACTAAATAATACTTTAAAATAAAGTTAAGAAAGAATGTTGTTCATTCTTTGTGAATGCCTTTTTTGAGCTAGCAACATTATTAATCTAAGAGAAAAACATGGTTACCATGGCTTTATTGGAGTGGCCTCCTCCTTGGAACTCAATGGTTCCAAAAGCGTCCGTCGGGCTGAGCTGCGTGTGCTTGCTGATGGACCACTTCTCCGACTGGATGTCATTGCGAGTGAGCCTGCTTTCATTTTTCTCATTCTGAATAACGGAGATGCTTGGAGTCAGTCCAACATGTTGTCCTATTAGACGTCCACAGCAACACCTATGACATTAAACAAATGGAAAACTTGAGTCATGTGTATACATAAACCAAACAGGGGAACAATCCTAAATGGCCTACAAATCTTCCAAAAAAACCCTTTTCAACTCTGCTGACCAGTTTCCTGCTATCTGAAGCCTCTACTTGTGGAAGCAACACAGTATAGATATTACCTTTTCTTTCTATGATCTTGTTTACTTTGGACTCTCCTGTATTTTAAGAAAATCATGCTTTGTTCTAAATATGTACAAAATGAACTTAAAGAACATTTTCTACTGTCTTCAGATGACATCAGGCTAAATAATCAGCTTTTGCATGGACTAGCACATATTTTAAGTTGGTAGTTCACTGCAATTATTTTCTTTTGACAGTATTGTGTATCATGCATCCAGTTTAGGTAAATATTCAAGGCACTGAATATTGAACTAAAGAGATAAGGAACTTAAACATCGATGCTGATCCACTTTTGAGTTATCTTTTTTTTGGATGAAGTAAGTTTTGAATTGTGCCTATAGGAATCTACCACTCTAGGTATAATTCAACCACCTTCTGATCAAATAAGTCTTTACAAACTATTTATATCCATATACGTATGTATGCACACACATATATAGACATTTTCTTGTAATTGAGTTTCATTTTTCATACAAGTAGGATGCAATTACCTATGGGGGTCTTTGGTGCTGGGTATGATATGAACACATTCTCTCTTGTAAAACGCTCTTTCTATCCATGATTTCTGTGCCTAAAAAAGAGAAAGGAAATGCCGTGAGCTCTGTTTGCTTATTAAACACAACTTACAGTACAACTGAAGAGAAACTTCAAACACAAAAGAAAACTTCAACTTTGCAGATACGCAGTGCACATTTTGCAAAGAGCATTTTCCATTAGAACTATGGTTCCCTTCTACAGCTAAGCACCCAACACAAGCTCCTAAGATTATGTTCATATTCACTAGCCAGATGACTTTGATGCTGTCCTCTGTATTCTCATAGCAGGAATCACTGGAGAAGAATTAATTCAAACTCTAAAGCTTTCTGCATGGAGAGAAAAAACACACCTATCCATTAAAAATACTTAAAAAAAAATCTATTTCCATTTCAGTGATACAACTAAGTCAGCTCTAATTAAAAAATAATCTCAGAAACTAGAAAAAAAATCTCACCATAAAACTTATAACACCGTGATTCCAATGCAATTTTTAATATAAGTACTGAGAGTGCCGTTTAACATGGAGCCAGAAAATACAGTTTCATATGTGGGTATCTTAATGGAAAAAAAAAAAAAAAAAGGAAGATCTGTTTCTGAAATGAGACACAAAAAACTCTGATACATTGAGTCAGATCACTAGCTGATGTAACCTCTAAAACTGACTGAGTTCAGTGAAGCTATGCCTGTTCATAACATTCAAGATCTTCCCACACGTATTCACAGGAAAACAAATAACTTCCATCAGCATAGTCTTAATTTTCAGATACACAAGAGATCTTTTTTAAAAGAAAGATAGATGGGTAGGAAAGGAAAAAGACAACAAACAAGAGAGTTTCAGAGCTCTGAAATCCTTTTAATTATCTAGACAGTCCTCACTCCATATAATATGAATTCTAGGAAGCTCTCTAAAAGTCTCCCCCAGAAAGAACTCAATTTTTTCGTTTAATAAGAAGATGAGTTGAAACTTTCCTTTAAAAATTCATTTCAAACAGAAAAATTTTATAAAATGTATTTAAGTATTAAAATTACCTATTTAATTGCACAGCATAGACAGAACAATAAACTATGAACTATGACAAAGTTACCTGAGAGTTAAATAATGCAAAATGAGCTTTAGATAACTGAAAGGAAATCTGAGCATCTTACCTCTATAAAAAGAGAAAATACAAAATTGCCTTTATAACATTACCTAACTGACTAAAGTTATCTCTTACTATGTGAGGTTAGATAGTAACCTATCTAAGTATTACCTTTACTAACTAATGTTACCTTACTAACTATCTAATGTTAGCTTTTTGTCAACTCAGTCTGCATCCTGTTTTTCATGTTTAAACCCAGAAAGCTGTGTTTCTGGGACTTTTGAAAATCATTGTGAACTGTGGAAATTTCTTGGAGTCAATGAATGTTACTAGCATAAAATACCATAATAAGAATTTCTAGCTACATTCATTACTTATCACTCTCAGTACATAAAAAGTTATTATTTTGCCTTTTTCACAGAAGATAATAACTTATTGGATATAGTGGTCACTCATGTTACAATATTTTATCTTTGCTCTACTTGCATTTTTATTTGAAAAATCTGCTAGACTTCATATTTTGTAGGAGTGGCAGACACCCTAACATGACTTTTACAGTCAGGAAGAAGAAAAATCTATTAAAAGCATTAAAACTTTTACTTACTATAGTAAGTACTTACTGTACTGTACTTACTGTAGCAAACAGTTGGTATGTTACAGAATGTGGGGCAAGGTTTGTTTCATGTTTAAGCAAAGGACAGTTAAATACAAATTCTGAAAAATCTAAAAAAAAGTTTTACATTACATAGGATGGACTACCTTGAAATTCTAATATATTATAACTTCTAAATGCTTACAAGCCTATGATGCACGCAATAATAATAATAATAATAATAATTACCATCATCATCACAACATTGTATATTATACAGTCAAATCAGCTTAGAAGTCTAGTGCATCTTGAATAATTTCTCAATTTAGTAGTCTTTTCAGGCAAAGAAAGGCTTTTTATAAACTAACTTTCTAGAACTGTCAAGGCATCCAGAGTGAACTTTACAAACTTCATTCGATCCTTTTACTGCAGTACTTTTGAAGCTATACTAGGTGGGAAAATTAGGGTTTTTCTTTTTGTTGAGTTTTGTAGAGAAAGAAAGGAAGTTACAATTATTATTCATGTATTGCAGTGCTAACATTTGACATTACATATTTTATGGACCTCACATGCTTGAAATTTCTCCCCTTCAATCTCCAATAGTACACAAGTTTTCCATATTGCCTTAAGAAGACGCACACTGATACAAAGCTGCAGATTTATAAATCCCCTTTGTTGTATATATATATATATATAGTAAATTTTTGACAAAAAAGGAGCACTTATAGAATAATGCCAGTTTTATCTTCATGCTTGCTTGCTTTACCACTAAATACATGCCTGCAATACCCTTTATCTTCTCTAGAAAGTGTGAAAAGATTTTATAAGCCAACTTTTCTTCATGGCATCCCAAACCAGCTCCTATTCCAGTGCTTACGTAGCATATGATTATCATTCATGTTGCCAAGACTTCCTAAAAATATCCTTCATTAAATTTCATAAATTTTGCGTACTCTTCTGCAAACAATTTACCTTGGTGAATTCACTTACTACATAGACCTAATCTGTCTTTTCTGAAAATGGCCGCTAATTCAATTTCTCTAAACCTCGAGATCCAATAGAAAAAGTGCCAGAACAAGTACTTCACTGAAAAATTTTTCTTTAGGTATACAAGCAGGCTTTCAAAAACCAAGAAACTGAAATTTAAAATTTGTTTTCCGACTCTTTTTCATACTGTCTTTGCAAGTAGAAAAGAAACCCAGCTGTGTTAAATATAAAAATTTGCATTTGAATTTTCATCATACTTCTTCAAATGTAATATTGCAAAAATAAGAGTCTGATTTAAAAAGTCGTTTATTCACATCAGGAAGAAAGACTTCCCAGCTTTTAGATCTCAGACAATATACTATCCTACCCAACAGAGTCATAATGCCACAGTACACTATTTACTCATTTCATAATTCCTTGTCCTTCCAAAGCAAAAACATCTGTTTTCATTGCCCTGTGCCAGTTATCCTTCTGTGACAGAGATGATTTGCAATCAAATACAGGGTTCAGAGTTATAATAAATTATGTTACTTGCCATAGAGTCTTCATAACAAAATTAGAATAACTTGAGGAAATCAACACATTCATAACAAAACAGTCTGCATTAAAGTCTTCTTTATAATGTGAATTAATAAAGTAATAAAAAATTTAGAAAAGTATAGCAAAGTATTTTCAGGACTAATAGAGCAAGAAGCTTATCTTCTCTTTCTCTTATTTCATAAATACTCCTTCAGTATTAATTCATAAGACAATGTGAAGTCCACAGTGAATTCCTAAAGTACATGCCATACTTATACTTGGATTTAGTTTACTCATAGCTTAGATTTCCAGGTTAAGTCTCTCTCTTTATCAACCTAGCTGCAAAATCCCACCAAGAACACTTTTTCTCCTTCTTCTTTACCTGAGCATCAAACTCGGCGTTTTAGTCTGTCCCGGAGCAAACTCTGCTGTTCATGTTTCCCTGCTGCTGGTCATCACTAATAACATGTTTGCGACCGCCCCCTGAACAAGGCACTCGGTCCATCCGCCGCGCAGAGATGTGAGAGTCAGCGAAGCCCTTGCACCCATTAGCTGCTTGGAATATGCTGCTGTGGGATTAGCCTCATTAAGGGTTCAGTGGACACTCACCCGCAGCCCCACAACACTGCTTGGTTTGAACATCTAATCTGACGCCAAAAGAAAAACAAATCCCCTGAGAGCTTGGATGTAACTGGCACAAGCCTTGACGAGCTTTTTTTCCTCCCTCTTCTTTCCTCGTTAGAGAGAGAGCTTGTGAAAGTGTGATAGGGTGCTCTGAGTTCTTAAGTTCAACCCCAGAAAACAAATCCTTCAAAAGAAACAGTGTACTAAACTGGAATGAACCTGAGCACACAAGAGAGATTGTTAGTCTCCGAAGAATGAAACCAGTGTGTTTATTGGGTAACTGCGAGAAATCTATACACAGTTGAAATATATTGCAATTAATCAACAATGGCACTTTTCCAGAGAAGCTGGGGTTTTTCACTCTTTCTCACCACAGTTGCTGTACTGTAGTGAATGTAACTTTTCAGAAAGTCATAAACATAAACCTTTGTCTTTCACAAACAAGCAGCTGCATTGTTTTCAGCTTAATTAAAAGTTAGTAACATAAAACACAACTTGAATGTTTACAAATTTGGGTACTACTTCTTTACTGTACCCTCTTGATATCAACACTGAGGAACAACCTTTTGATATGAATAACACTTAAATTTTTTTAGTACATAGCAATTATATATGTTCAATTACTTACTTCAAGCGTCTTCCAAGTATAAAATACTTTTACTCTTCCTCCCCCCTGCCAAGTTTGGATGAATTTCTCTCTACTCCTACATATGCATGCATACCCTCCTTTACTTTTCAATAAGCCTGCATCTAATGCATGGAAAACATTCTGTCCACCCTTGGCACTGACGAATACACAAGCACTAAACTATTCTGCATGTACATTAGCTTTGATGGGCCCAGGATGGGCAAGGCTGAGCATATGCATCAAGTTCTAAACTTCTTACACACATGTTGAGAAGTGTCTGCTAGACTGGCTAATCCATCAGACACTTTTTCTCTCTTAGTTCCCTGAGTTTTTTGTGTAAAATACATACATGTATTTTGTATGTAATGTATATATGAAGTATGTACATATACACACTCTGTATGCATATATATACACACTCTCTTCCAGCAAAGCTATGACCTGTGAGATTTCTCTACCACACAGTTCAGAGCAACAGAGACCATGTGCACATCTTGAGATCTCTTTAGCACAGGAACAGACCAAAGGTGGTCTGCGGCGAACAGCGAAAGTAGAGAAAGTTGCAGGGTCAAGAGAGCAGCTGGTAAACAGCTCAGTGAGGTAAA